AGACCTGGTTACTGTGGGGAGATAATGTAGTGTAAAAGGAATATATCACTTGTGCACCGATAAAATTACCTCTGTCCATTTTTGTAGTATGAATCTCCCATGATAGATTTTATACTACAAATCTATATAAATATACCAAATATAATATGATTGGTTTATAGTCATAGGTACTTTTTTGTCAGTTTGGCTGTAGAGTTTATTGAGCTGATAACACCACTTAAGTAACATGCTACTTGGTGCGATACTCTAGTGTGATCGAGCTAGATTTTAACTGTTGTATTTGACACAGCAAACAGCTAGACTTGCCACATCTCATGAACTGGTGCTGTAACTATTAACTTTAAATTCTGGTTGTCATATAAATAGTATGAATTCCTTAGTATCTTTCCAGAGTTCTTCCCTTAGTATCTTTCCAGAGTTCTTCCTAGGTGTTTGGAAGAAACCAAACATATTCTTCCAATGCCTGTCTGTAGAGTAGCTCAGTTCACTGAAGAATTGTTTCTGCTTTCAGATATCCCAGCAGGAGAGTTCAGTGTGGATGCAGAACTGTGGCTGCTGTCAAGCAATTTACTTAAGAATTTGTTTTCACAGACAAGCAATTTACTTAAGTCTGCATTGATAATCTATTCTTAGATACTTTATCCTGGGTTTTTTTTTTTGCCTCACCTATCTCTCTGGAACTGAATTTAGAAGTTCTACACATAGTGTGTGTTTTGTTCAAGCTTATGTTTGCAAATACTGTGGATGTGTGTTTGGGTAGAGCATAGTTGATTCAGAACACTGAAGTTTGATTATCTCAAATTCTCATGCAATAGAATAAACAAAATGAGGAATTAAATTTAAATCTCTAATTTTTCACTTAAAAATACCTAGCCTGGAAATGACTGTCATGAGGAGTTATCTTCTAGGAACATGACACAAGAAGTCTGAAAATCATCACAGTATTTAACCTTATCTTTAGGATAAAATGATGTAACCAAAACCAAACCTGTGAGCAGTGTGCATTAGTATGGTGTGAGATACTGGGGACATATTCAAAGAAGGCTTTGCATAGCAAGAAACATCAGGCTTCTCATCTGATCTGCAGGAATTAATATTGAAGAGGAAAAAATTGTCTTCCCTTTTGCAGTCGTTTTCTTTCTTTTGTACAGACCCTTCCAAGTAGAAAATAGAATTCGACATTTCTGAGGTAGAAACGGTCAGTGCCAACAGACTTTCTTGTGTTAAAAAATCAGAGCTGCAGTATTCCCCAGTAAGTCAGTCTTCTTTGTGTTTGATAAAAATGCTGATATGTCAGTAGGTATGATGGGTAAATATCAGGAGTCATAGGTGAGAACAGCCCCCAGAGACATCCTTTCACCGATACCTTGCTGAAGAGATAATCAGGTAACTGACTTCCAACATACTGCTTGCAGCATGTTACTTCAAAAGGAGAATTAGAAATACAGAATGACTATTCTGTATATATGAAAGCAATACATTGAAAATGGGAAGTAAACGCTGAAGAATAGTCTTGCAGGAATTGTAAGGATGTGGTGCTGTAACAGCTAGGGAAAAGGGGAGAAGTATGTGGATGAGCTATAGTCATGTTGTGCTTTTCAAGACTTTTCTAGTGAAGGGGCTAGATGCTGCAGTGTGGTGATGGTTGATGATGGCAGCTCCTGATCCCACAAAAAGGTGCAGAAGCTTTGACCTTGTCACAAGCTGGAGTCCTCTGTACCTATCAGACGTAAGGGACTGCCAGCCAGGCAGAAGCTGCTGCTTTCTACAGGGGAGGGGATCTCTGTGAGGTGCAAGGCACCTAGCTGAGTCAAAGACTTTGGTCTTGCAGGATTTGTCATGGGAACTTTAAGCACCCACTGGGCTCAGAGCATGGTGTCAGCATGGTGTTAAAATCTACTCTTACCACCTTACACCAAACACCTTCAGGCACTGGGATTTCTCAGTTCTTCTTAGTAACAGCAGTGTAAACCATTAGTGAGGTCATCAAAGCTTGCTGGTGGGAAAACTCAATGTATCCTACCAATTTCTTGGTGTTTTTAGCAATGTCAGTGTAAGTTCTCCATCTTCTATTGGCAAGGATGGGGGGGGGGGGGTAACTAGTTCCCTGTCTGTGAAATCAAATGCTCGTGGTATATTTTCCCCTGCAGTTGCATCTTGTTTTGCTGAGGAATAAATGTGAGTAAATGGAACTGAGGGAACAAAGAAAGCAGGCCACAGCTAAAGCTCAAGGAAAAGTATACTGTGAGTAAATTAAAACCAGTGTTGGGATGTAAGGCAGATACTTAAAATTATTTGATTTATAAACAGTATGTCTGAAGGAATTACTATTAATACAACTGACTATTTTTAAAGATTGCTTTTGTAGTAGCTGAAGGGGAAGAACAATGGCTGTTTTGTCATGACAGGCTATCATACCTAGGAATATTCTATTCCTCTTCTACTTGGCACAAATTACATTGGAAGAGATGGTAACAGCGAGGAGCGTATCATAGTGTTATGCTCATGCCTCAGCTTTGGGGAGCCTGTGAAATGAAAGGCCCCAGACTGGCCAAGGTTGAAAGGTTGAGGCTCTAACCAGACTTCTTTTCCCCAGCCGGCCAGGGCCATTACTGAACAACAGACAACCGTGAATAGATGATGGGCATCTTTGCTTTGTTGCTGCTCCCTGGTTTAAGGATACTCTTGTCCTCCTTCTGCCCCTTCTACATTTGACAAGTTTGCTTTCAGCAAATATGACAGGCACTGGTGGGGGTCACTGGCCCAGTTCCACGTTTCCACACTTGGCTTGCTCCAAGTTCATTGGCCTGAACTAATGTATCCAATGAAGGTCGAACTACTGAACATGATGAGTTTTTCTATATTAAACATGCATTGGTGGGTTTACCCTGCTTATCTGACAGCTATAGAAAACTAAAGAAAATTCAGTTTGAACTTTAAAAAGCAGGGCTTAATTTATGGCCACTACTTTTGTTCCTCACTTTTTTTTTTTTGTTTTTCTCCTTTTCCAATTGCAAACCTCACGGGAGATAATAAAATGGACGAGCTGGTACTTTATACTTCCATGTGCTTCCTAGTGCCTTTGCCTTACTGGGTGAGCTCAATCTAAAACCAGGAAAAGAGTTTTCAAATGGAAATTTGATTAAACAATGCAATCATCTGTCTCACAATCTGCTTTTTTACAAGGAAAGTACTTTTTTTTTTCCAGGGGGAATTTTCTTTCAGAGGGTTTTGTATGAAAAGGCAGACGTCATGAATACTGATGGGAAGGGCTCAGTGTTTTGTTATTTCTGTATAACAAAGACAAAATGCTTTAATAAAATCAGAAAACACAGATGTTACTTTGAGTATATTTTGCATCTTCTACTTTTTTCTTGTTTTTTAAAGTTGGGAACAATCCCTCCCTCAGCCCGACAATAGCAGCTCATGACAGACAAAATTAGCAGCTGGAAACATAGCCAAAAGTTTGTTTTTAGTTTGTTGTTATTGTTTGGGATTTTCTTAGATGGTGAAAGGCAAGCTTGAAGGAAGAGGCATGGATGAATGGAAAGCCCTTGTTTCTCTCAGTATAGTTTGACTGGATTTTAGTTTTTAGAAACAGTTTTAAATGGGAAAAAGCAAAACTCTTTGTTTAGAAATTACTGTGTTTTTTTCTCTTTTTTTGTGTGCGAGGACTTCAGAGGGAAGTTGGTGTGGTTTGATAATATATACTTTTCATACTCATGAAAGGGAGCACATTTTTATATAAATACAAAAACCAGTTTCTGTATGTCAGTGAAAAAGCAACATCTACCATTTTTTCATGAGTGATCTTTGTTTCTAGGGAGGAAGCACGAGATATCTTGTCACTTAGACTCATGGCTGAATAATCACAGAATCCCAGACTGGTTTGAGTTGGAAGGGACTTTAAATCTCATCCAGTTCCAGCCCCCTGCCGTGGGCAGGGACACCTTCCACTAGACCAGGTTGCTCCAAGCCCTGTCCAACCTAGTCTTGAGCAAAGTGAATTAATTTCATCGCTGTTTGCTCAGCAATTTTGCATTCTTGTGGCTGGTTTCTATTATGTGAATTTTATCGTGGCAGACATGGCTACTAAAATCTTTTCAGGGTCCAAAAGAAACCTTCTGGTATGACTGTGTCTCTTATCTCCTGTGCTTACTGCTTTACTCCCTGCTCATAAAACTGGACAGCAGCAGGGTTGCCATTAGGGTGCTTGGAGACAGGAGGGACTATGATTGGGGATTACCTCCAAGGCCACCTGATCATAGGAGCCCCAAGCCCAGGAAAGAACATATGAGTTTATACTTTGTGTGATGCTTAAATGCTTGTGAATGCAGCAGAAGGAGGTGCCAGTGTGCAGAACAGACCTTTCTATGAGATCTAGAAGATATATATTCAGTGTTACTCTCAGGGGAAATGTTACGTGGCTGGTTTTCAGGCGCTTTTGACACATCTTGGATCTCTGTGTTGATGGTGCTATACTTTAGAAATTCAGAGTGGTCTCTAGGTACTTCACACTGAGGTATGTTTTACTCTAAAAAATAAAGAAATTACATATTTTCTGTCCAAGAAACAATAGGTTTAGAGGCAGGATTTTACACTTTTCCTGGTTTTGTCACAGGTATATTCTCCTTTTTTCAAGGTACCTGGGAATTCTCTAATGCAACATGTATTTGCAGGATAGCTGGGTGGTCAGTCATTGCCTGCCCAGCATGTTTGTAAACGCATCTTTGGCTTATGCTGTCTTTTGTTCTTTCAGGGTATAAGCTCTTTAGAGAACATACCTCTGGATTCATACTGCTTTTAAGAAATTGAGTGGAATACTGGGAAAATCCACCTGACAACATGAAAATAATCCTACAATCAAAACAAAGAATTAGGATTTGAGAGATTTGGCTTCTGTGTTGTTTTATATTTAATCAGCTATGTGTCATGTGGGATAAAATGTTCTCTAGGTGTATGGTAATGGAAAGGAAAACCTTTTAATGATTGTAGCTTCGTTGCAGGACTGGAATAGCACCATTTGAATGCATATAGACACAAAATATGCATAAGAAATATGTTGCAATGAGAAGAGATCACGGAATAGAAGAGGGAACCCCACTGTCTTCATTACATTTTAAAGGTAAGCCAATGTTATATTCTTATGTCAGACTGCCTAGCATGGAAACATGCCTTCTCGAAGGACATGTGTTAACTGAGATAGATGCAAATCAACAAAAAATACTGGATCTGAATTCAAAGAATGATCCCTCAATTGCTGCATCATCTCTAGTGTGCTACTACTGGCATAACAGGGAGTTGCTTGCAGTGGTAGAAAATACTATATCCTCTGGGTCTACCCTGAACATTCTATTTAATGAAGAATCACTTTAATAGGAAAAAGGGATTTCTAATTCTGATACTAGGGTCACTTCTGTATTTCAGCATAAGTTTCTTTTTGGACTTTCTGAAAGCTTGTTCCCAAACTAATCATGTAGCATTGCTTCATATTTTTGTCTACCTGTGTTAGTGCTTCTGTTGTAGGAGAATCTAGCTGATGAAACCTTTGTTTTTCAGCGTATTAATCCAACTATTGATATGCAATAGGGTAGCATTAGAAACCTCAGACTTAAGTGTGAAAATGAAGGGAGCAATGAGCTGCAGAGTGGCCCATCTCCATGGCTGGAAAACTGAATTTTCAAGGAATGGCCTGAGCCTCTGAGAGTATTGGAGTTTGATTGTTCCCTGAATAGGAGAGTTCAGGGGTGCTAGAGGGAGAGAAGGGGGCTTTGGTGGAAATGCAAAATAAGGAAGATATTATTTTCCATAGGAAAACATCTTATATGCAGGAAGTATAGCATAAGGTACTGGGAGAAACTTAGTGTTGAGGTTTCCAGCTTTTCATACAGCTTGGTTATAATAAGGACCATTCCCTATGATTTCCATGTGGAAGCATTACTTCACACTTGCACAAGAGCAAACGAAGCAGAAGAGCCTAAGTAAAGTTACAGGGGCTTCTTAACAACAGAGCAAATGTTAGTTTAATGATACTGTAACAAGTCACAAAGAAGTTGGAGCAGATGCCCCAAGTTTTACGTATTTTTGGCAAAGTGGGTGGGAAACTATGTGCTAAAGTGAGGTCAACAGATGGAGGAAGAGAGGTACAGGAGGGGAAGAAAGCTACACACCCAAAGCAGCCCCCCAAACCTCACTCATCAGAAAGAGCTAAAGAGACAACCTTGGAAGAAACAGATTTTTAACAAAGGTTGCTAAAAAAGTAAACTTTTTTTATTATTTCCCTGTGAGCAGATGCGAAGCGCCTTTTCAGTTCATTTTGGATAGAAATAAGTGAACACATGCTGGGCTTTAATAAATCTTGGCGCAACCACAGTAGGGAAACTCAGACCTTGAACAATTGTGTGTTGGGGTTTGGTGATATTCACCAAGTGTCTTTGCATTCTTCCCTCTCCTTTTCTGCTTTGGAAAAAATAAATAGAATTATCAGTGATAGGCAGAATCATAGAATCCCAGAATAGTTTGGCTTAAAGCTTATCAAGTTCCAGCCCCTTGCCATGGGCAGGGACACCTTCCACTAGATCAGGTTGCTCCAAGCCCCGTCCAACCTGACCTTGAACGCTGCCAGGGATGGGGCCGCCACAGCTTCTCTGGGCAACCTGTGCCAGTGCCTCAGCACCCTCACAGGGAAGAACTTCTTCCCAATATCTAACCTGAACTTCCCCTGTTTAAGTTTAAACTTAAACTTTGTCTATTTCTTCTGCCCTACGTAAGGACACAACCAGGGTAAGTGGATTGTCTTTATATAACCTGAGGAGTACCTTGTATTTTGAAATCTACTGTTCTGAATGTGGGACTGGGAGTCAGAAGTCAACAGTGCAAAACTGTAAGCGTCTCTTGGTGAAGGGCCCTGCTAACTGCCCTTGGGCACAAGTTCCTTAAGTTTATGTGTTCAAAATGCTTACCTAACCTGTCTTATATCCCTTCTTGGGAATCCACATTCTAAATTTCCTTCTGAAATTCCTTCTTCAGCTGTGAAGTAATCTGGTTTTCATAAACATTGATGCAAACCTCTGTGAATCTTTGTGTTCCCTTTTACAAAATGAGGCAATACAGTCACTGACACTTTATTCCACTCCTCCTATTTTGGGTCATTATTTTATTTGCTTTGAAAAAGCATGGTGATGTTTCATGATAAGTTTGCAGAACCGTGTAGCTCTGTCTCTGGATTTGCTATCATCACTTTTCAACCTCCTGGTGTTGTGCTGACTATTGTTTATGTTGATTGATTTATTTCAAGACAGGGATCAGGAGTGAAATCTCAGCTCTGTCAAAGCCAGTGGAAACAATTCCAGTCTTCAAGAGAGTCAGGATTTTTTCTCCAACCTTTTTATTTGCCCTTGGATAATTCATCATAACAACCGTTAACAGGTATAATGCTCTGATCCCTGCCAAGCATTTGGTAAATCTGGGGTATGCTTATTATCAGGCTATTGTAACTGTAGCTAATGCAGAGTGCACAGGGGAATGTTATCCTGCAGGCAGATGTGTTGAGATTGGTGAACCTTCCGACACACCACACAGTTGTACAAAGCCCTAAAAGATGCAGTTGGCAAATTCCTGCGAGCCCATTTTTCTGGGCTGCCATAGCCTCTTTGGAGAACAGTTTTAGTACATAGAATAGGCTTAATGTTTAAATGTCATTGTGCTTCCGACTGCTGGCTTTGTTACAAATCCTGTGATGAGTGAATCGAAGCTCTCAGGATCACAGACGGTGCAAACAGGGAATGTCTGATTCATGAATCTTCCAGGTGCACTACTGTACTTTCCAGAAGAGGCTTGGTGAATTCTGGCTGTTGTATGTCCTTTGCAATTGACTGAAGCTTACCTGATTGATAGTTAATACTGAAAGAGGAGTTGCCTTGCTTGAAGGGAGGGTTTTTTTGAAGCTGAATGTTCTCCTTTGTTGTATAGTTGTGGCTTAAATTTTCTTAATGCTATTTTTGTATGAGATCATAGTTTATTCAAATACCTATGGAAAATGTTCAGGCACCTCTTCTTTTGGAGTAACTTGGACACCTCTGTTGATGTTAATGGTCATGCTTGTTGGAGATGAATGCTTTGATCTAGTTGGAGATGATGTATAAAAGTACTGGCTATAGCAGGCACTGTGACACAGACAGAATATACTCCAAATTGGAACATATTTTTCCACCCCCAGGATCCTTGGAAAGCTCCATGAAATTTGTGTCCCTGGAAATTATTTGGTTAATACATGTTGTAAAGTTACCCACATGAACTTGTGTCACGGAAAGACTGATCTTAGTGCAGGTAACTGAACCCTCTTAATTTTCATACCCTAGATTCATGGGTACACAGCAGCACCTAACTATGTGTGTAATGTCAGGCTTAAAATAAAGCATTTCATTGAATACCAGGACCTGGATGAGAACTGAGGGAAAAAATTGCCTCTTGGTTTCTCCTGGTTTTGAAGCTGCCACAGTGCACAAATGATTTATGAGTCTTTGTGTGTGAAATGATTATTAGGTTGTGACAAAAATCAAATAATCTGAAGGCTGGTTAGGATTAGAGACAGTGCCAGATATAATTTTAGCAGCCTGAATTCTTTCCATTCCTTTTTTAGTTGGAAAAGGGTAATAATTGTAAATTGCTCTTCGCAAGCAGAAAAATACCTCTAAGACAGTCTCAGATACTCACATTAGACCATGTGTTTCCAAAGTGGCCTTTGCCCCTCAGAAATTTCCTACTGAGATTAGTCACAAACAAGATAATTGCTCATTTCTAGGCCAAAAATAGATTAATTGACTGGGACTTAAAATATTTGCATTTACTTTAATTTACAGATTGACTCAACAGAGGTGAAAAGTTCCTTCTCTGACGGTGATCTGCTTCTGTTGGGTGAAAACCCTAGAGTATCTACCTATCCTGGACCACCTGTAGTCTGTAATCAGTTTTCTGTATTCAGGCATTATCTGTCAGGTAACTGCTTGTTTGATTTTCATTAGATGGGTCATCTTAGGCTAGTTTTCAGGCTCTATTTTAGGCATCCTGACATAGAGGTCAGATATTCATTAGTGTGAAATATTGGCAGCTGATGGAGTTAAATAGCAATTTGATTTGTCAATGACAGAAAAGTAGGAACAGGTACAGCCTGTTTGTCAGTGTTTAATCAATACATCAGATTATCTCTTGGAAAACTCAGGTATTTCGCCAAATGTTCTGAACAAGGATTCAACATGATATTGAACCTTTCCCAACAGCTTTTACATTGTACTGAACCTCCTTGCTTTCACCTCAGCATGGTCTGAATCCATGCCTGTTGTTTCTTACTTTGAGTGTGGTGGAAATACCTTTCAAACAGCGATCGCAAAGATAGCTCTTGCACCATTGTTGTACATTAGTTATGATAGTCCAGAAATCCCAGTACATTCCTCAGCTTGTCATTGTCTTTATGTTATTTTATGTTACAGGCCATAATTGTAGGAAATAACTTTAAGAACAACTATTTGAGAACTGGTTTAGGTCTCCAAAACCTGCGTGTTTCCAGTCACTGCGCTTGTCAAGGTAGCTGATGCTGTGTCAAGAGCCTGGTTCAATAGACTCTGAAGACCAACAACAGCAAAGGCTGACTAAGGCATTTTGAATCTGTGATGTCTACTAGTCAGATGAAGTCAGGTGCTATGTACCAGTACAAACCTCATGAAGTTCAATAAGGCCAAGTGCAAGATCCTGCACCTGAATCATAGAATAGTTAGGGTTGCAAAGGACCTTAAGATCATCCAGTTCCAACGCCCCTGCCATGGGCATGGATGCCATACTCTACACCACGTCACCCAAAGCTCTGTCCAACCTGACCTTGAACACTGCCAGGAATAGATCATTTACCACTTCTCTGGACAGCCTGTTTCAGTGCCTCACCACCCTCACAGTAAAGAACTTCTTCCTTATTTCTAACCTGAACTTCTCTTTTTTAAACTTAAACCCATTTCCCCTTGTCCTATCACTACAGTCCCTGATGAAAAGTCCCTGTCCAGCATCCTTGTAGGCCCCCTTCAGATACTGGAAGGCTGCTATGGAAATCTCAAGCACACCTGCAGACTGGCTGGACCCTGGATGGAGCAGCCCTGAGAAGAAGGACCTGGGAGTGCTGGGTGATAAGAAGGCTCAGCATGAGCTGGCCAGAACCCCCCTGTGTGCTGGGCTGCATCCCCAGAGCATGAGCATCAGGTCAAGGAAGGGGATTCTGCACCTATGCTGCACTCTGGGGTGACCCGCCCTGCAGTCCTGTGTCCAGCTCTGGGGCAACAACACAAGAGGGACATGGAACTGTTGGAGTGAGTCCAGAGGAGGCCATGGAGATGCTGCGAGGGCTGGAGCAGCTCTGCTCTGGAGGCAGACTGAAAGAACTGGGCTTGGTCAGCCTGGAAAAGAGAAGGCTCCAGGGAGACCTTAGAGCAGCTCCAGTGCCTAAAGGGGCTAAAATCTGGAAATTCTGGAGAGGGGCTTTGGACAAGGGCCTGTAGGGACAGGACAAGGGGGAACGGCTTTAACCTGACAGAGGGGAGGTTGAGATGAGACTTTAGGCAGAAGTTCTTCCCTGTGAGGGTGCTGAGACGCTGGCACAGGTTGCCCAGAGAAGCTGTGGCTGCCCCATCCCTGGCAGTGTTCAAGGTCAGGTTGGACACAGGGGCTTGGAGCAGCGTGGTCTAGTGGAAGGTGTCCCTGCCTGTGGCAGGGGGCTGGAACTGGATGAGCTTTAAGGTCCCTTCCAACCCAAACCAGTCTGGAATTCTCTGATTGGAATGAACTAGAAGTTTGGTTTTCTATTGTGAAGTCAGTGTGCTGTACCAGACCTCTGAACTACTATTGAACCTGAAATACTTATCACTACTTTGCACTGGTACACCACATTTTGATGGGAAGCGGGAAGTAGCGGATGGAAACTTGTAAAGGAAGGAAAAGGAAATACTTTAATCTCTTTCAGCTGCTACTTTGGGAAGTGTAAACTTAATTTTGCTTGTGGGATGTTACTACCTCAGAGAAGATGATGCTATTTACTATGTGTTCCTGTGGCTTCTCATTCACAGTCTGGTTCTGACCGGCAAATTGAGGGACTTGCAATTCTGTATTTAGTTGAGCCAGGCTCAAATGGATTTAAAAAACCCTGAGGTTGTGGCAGTGATCTATATAAGTTATGTTTTTATTTACATGCTCATGACAGTTAATGTCTGGGAACACTTGTATGTGTTGCCAGACACTCTGGTACCCAGTAGCTATTCTGTCTTTTCCACCAATAGTTCGCAGCCTTCTGCCAAGTTGTTTCTCTTTTGTTATGAAAGAGATAAAAATAAAATGGGCTGGAGCTTGATCAAGAAATGATTTTAGATACATCTTGGCAACAGAAGCAGACCGTCAGCAATATTTTCCATTGTAGAGTTGCTCTTTTTTTCTTAACTGGGCAGTATGATAAATTGCTAATTTCAGGTCAGGCAGCTTAAAGTGTGGAACAAAAACAATGACACCATGGAAAATAAAAAGGGTGCCCTGCAGATTGAGTTTAAATTTAAATCTGTCTCTCTCAGGGAGCAGGCTTTAGAAAAAGAGATGGAAACACACCTCAGAGGAATATGGCCGAAGTCTAGTGAGCAGGGATATCTTTTAAATTCACCAAGAAATGTGGGTTAAAGCGTTTCTTCTGAAAAAATGGGTTAACAAAACCCGATTTTTCTTCACTTGTCCCCTTCATCTGATTCACTCGTTCTTTTTTCCTTTAGATTTCACCACTGTTTTTTTACAGGTTAACATGACAGCAGTGAAAAAATAGTTGCCTCTTTATATGGATCTTGGTCTCACAGAATAAAATATGTTAGAAAAGGTCTCCAAATGGGAGGTCTTCTGGGCTATTCCCTGTGTATACAAGTCTGTAGCAATATTATGAAATATTTCAAAAATGCTTGTTGGGCATTTTCCTGCTTTTTCAGAAATGTCTTAACAAGTCAGGTGCTTAGATCCCATTGAATTTAATAGGACTTAGGACTCTCTCCATAACTTTGGATATTCAAATACATAGAATCATTGAACTGATAGTTTTTAACCCACTAAAATCAATGAGAGCTAAGTACCCAGTCCTGCAAAATCTTTGTAAACATGGTTCTGGGCTTTTTGGTCTCTCTTGAAACTGAGACTGGACTGTTTAATCATGAACGTGGTTTGAAGTTTGTCTTAAAATTTGCTTCCTGAGGGAGATATCAGCCCTGTTCCAAGTATCTTGTTGTCATAGACACATGAATGCTGTTCCTCTGCATTCAGTATATGGAATTATTTATCCTCAGGGATTTTACTTTTTGAATATTAGGAGATAAGGCATCAGCACTGTTTTAAAGCCTGGTCTAGTGGAAGGTGTCCCTGCGTGTGGCAGGGGGCTGGAACTGGGTTGTCGTAAGGTCCATTCCAACCCAAACCTTTGTATTCTGTGATAATGTAAATATGTAAATAATTAGACATTTACTGAATGAAAGTACGTGCATTTAGTTATTGAGACCTTTCCTATCAAACCAGCTTCATTATAAGTATTACTGCACTTCTCTGAACAGTTTCCCATAAAACAAGGTTTTATTGGAGGTGAAATGTATAAATGTGAATACAAAATTCAGATGTTGCTGCACGACAGCCTTGTGCTTGCTGCTAAAACCCTGCTCTGTGGTGTGATAAAATGCCTTCTTCCTGCCTGGGTAAGTATCAAAAAGTCTTTTTTTTTTTTCCTACACTTTTTTGAATGGCAAATTTATGTCTAATTTACTGTTCACACAGAGATTTTCTAGAGTTTTAGTTCTAATTGAATAACAGTTTCCTGGAGTTATTAGTTAGAGTGACCATCTGCGGGTCACTCTAACTGAAAGGGTCATTAGCTTTCCTTGGTCATTTCCACCCATTGTCTTCCTTTTAGAGTACCCATAAGGATTCCAGTTAGCACCCCAGTGTAACGATGGGTTGGCTTTTTGTGTCAGGGGAACACCTGTCCATTAGGGAGAAAATAGAGGCTTTCAACTTGTTTTTCAAGTAGATCAGTTGGGAACAACATTTGGTCACTAGCAATCTGCTCCAGGCTGCCTCAAATCCAGGACCCTGATAAACCTGCTTCTTCAGGGAGCAACACATGGCTACAGCATGATTTTCTTCATGGGGCTGCGAAATAGCACTTGTGTAACTTGATTCTTGGCAGTAGTTTCAATTTTCTCTTTCTACAGAATTCTCACCTGCGCATAACTGAGCTTTTTTTTATTGAGTGCACATACCTGATGTGGAATTAGGGTGTCATCAAGCATAATATGGACCCAAGTTAATGACAGAATCATTAGGTTGGAAGGGACCTTCAAAGCTCATCTAGTCCAACCCCCCTGAGCAGGGACATCTTTGCCTAGATCAGGTTGCCGCTACAGAGAGTGTCTACCTTCTGTTTTATTAATTAACTTCATCGTTAACCAGCAAATTCAGAGGGGAAGAGAACTTTTTTTTTGTATGTTTTTTTTGCATTTGTGTTTCCTATTAAAAGTAATTTCTTGTTCAGCTTTAGGATCAAACACTTTGCATTCAGTTCCTGTATTGCTGATCTCTCCTCCGGAGCTGGTATATCCCTTGTGGATTTCAGCTTTATTCATTAATTCTTCTTACCAATTAATCTTCCTGTATATTCTACTTGATTGTTCTAATCTTTACTTTTGTCCTAAAATGTTGTTCAGTGTTCTATGTTTATAGGAGCTGTAATCTACCACTGTGACATCTGCATTTCAGGAACAGGATTTCCTGTTCTTTCTGGTGTATAATTTCCAAAGTGGGCTTCAAATAAGGGAAACACCGTTGTCTTTTCTACAGCACCTACGTGATGACAAGCGCTCTGTGGAAATGATACAAAGCCTTCT